ACGTCGTCACGTTAATATTTCAGAAAGTAGCACAGCCAACCGACTCCCCGTTGAACCTTTGAACTGGGCTGACCAATATTATTACTCCAGCGAAATCTTAAAGGAGTCTAAAGAAGAACGTGATCTGTTCCTTGCTAAGTTAGCTACGGTAAATGACACCGTTGAGCGGAACCTGATGATGGAAGAAAAAAGGGCAGAGTTGAASAGTAAACTGCTAGCCACCAGAAGACAAGAAATTGATGAAAAGAAAAGGCTGCAGGCAGAAGRRSAGAAATTACAGAAAGCTCTAGAGGAGCAAAAAGATAAACCCTCTGCGACTGAAGAACAACTGGCGTTGCTAAGGGAGGCCGTGCTCAACACAAGACAAGATATGAACTTAATGCGCCAGACGCTGCAAAGAGTTGAGACCCATCAGGTTGAGTTCGAGACTATTTGGAACAACTTTTTAGAAACGTCTGCTAAGGACGTGGACCATCATGTTCAGACATATATCCAGGTTTTGGATGATCATGTCACTAAAACGTTCTCTCCGGAAGTCGTAAAGAGGATTGTGAAGGGAGCTGGAGGCGATGGGGGAAATAGTGACGACGATGGCGACGGTGACAGGAAGGGAAAGAAGAAGATTGGGCATCCCAAAGAAAAACTTCCTCAGGAATCCGGGCAGGTTAGCAAGATCAAGCTTAAACTGCCCTGGACCTATAATGGAAAAAAGGAAGAGAGTGTCTTACATTGGGCAGCCGCAATTGAAACCTACGTATACGAACAGCGTATCCCATATTGGGACAGGGTATTGATGGCGACATCATGCATGGGAGGCGACGCCATGAGCTTCGCCATCTCGCTGCAAAAGGAAGCGGGATGCAGCTCTATGGTAGAGTATTCGCAGCAAACGCGAATCGACGACTTCCTTAAATTAATAAGAGAAAGATTCGAAGACAAAAATCTGGCAAGACGTACAAAAATGTTAATTCTCAGCCTTCCTGACAGGAAATGGAAAAACACTTCTGCATTAAAGGCCACAATGGATGAATTGTTGCAATGTTCTAATCATGGATTAACGCCAGCCCAAATTTTGACTAGCTTTGCAAGAGCACTCCCGGATCCCTTAAGAACACAGCTCTATCCCCGAACCAAGGAAGATGGGATGACCTATGAGAAGTTTGGCAAGATCGCCATAGATCATGCTGGCTTCCTCGCCGAGGCGAATTATTGCCACTACTGGAAAGATCTGCAAGCGGGAAAAAGATGGCAAAACCGCACTATCTCAGGGTCTATACCTGGGAAAGATAGTCTCCTTCTAACCTTTGAAGAAGGAGGCGCCGAGACCATCTCCTGGGATCAGGTTGACTATGGTCTCGATGAACCCAAYARACCGGTAGCTCAGGAGGGGAGTTACGCGGCTGTTGCAGCCCGCGGGGGAGGGCGTCAAGGAAGAGGGCGTGGCCGAGGAAGAGGTCGCGGCCGTGGTGGAAGAGGATTCAGCACCCAGAGGGGTGGTGGCGAAGGTAGCCACTACGTGGGAGGAAGGGGAAATGGTCTCTCATACAGTGGCCGTAGTTCTTACTCCACTTGGGGTAGAGGAAGAGGCTCATGGTACAACAAGTGGGATAAACCGTACCCACCTCATCCAGGCCTACCCGAAGGGAAGCCTTGGAAGGAGCTTGGCATAACAGAAAAAGTATGGACCGAAAGAAAGAAGGCAGACCAATGCCTCAAATATGGGGACCCCGACTTCATTGTCCCCTATTGCCCTGACTATCGGGGGGCAAAAGGGAACAGCCAGCAGAGGTGCTAGTTGCCTCTACAGGGGCTTCGAGTGTTGAAAAATCAGAATCCTCCTATTTGAAGGCCCCAATGGCAGAAACTGAAGAGGAAGAAAGTCCCCATCTAGTGCACTGTCCAGAGGTGACAAAGGTATGCATCTCTCTAGATGGATCCCTCGTTGGCGTGGGTGATGAGTTGGCCGCTCGTCGCCAGGCCTGGACTGAAATGCGTAAAAAGAAAGGACAGCTAATAATTGCAGATCTAGAGATAAATCGAATAAGAGTAGGAGGCATGATAGATAGTGGATCTACACGCAGTTATATTAGTAAACGAGGTTTGTAGAAACTGCGTCTTGGGCTTAAGGTTAAGAAGTTAGATGAGCCCATTGTAAGTAAGTTGGCGAATAGTAGTGAAACTGTCATAGATCGATACATCGAGGGAGTACAAGTATACTTTCGGCTAGAGGCAGAGGGAAAGGTGGAACGCGTTCTCCACTCTCTGACCTTCTTGGTGGAGGATAACTTGCCCTTTGATGTGTTGCTAGGAATGGATTGGGGTGAGGCTGCACGTGCGGATCTAAAATTAAGGGAACATGAATGTTGGCTTCCAAGTCCGCAGGGAGGTAAAAAGAAAATCCGCCTCTATCATGAATCTGGAAAGGAAAGCAGCCTAGCTCACTGTTGTATGAGTGCCCCAGCGTTCGCTCGCCATGTTAAGAAACATAACTTGTATGACCAAGTCTTTGTTGCATATGTGCGAATGTAATGACTGGAGCCATTATAAAGATGAATAAATTAGCACTACTTGGTAGAATAGGCTCTTTTATCATTAATTTCAAACCATCTGAGAAACAAAGGAAAAAGTCACGTCCCAAGAGATTGAGAGGATCCTGAAAGAGTTCGCAGATGTGGCTGAAGCCCCAAGCGGTGTGGTGGAAAGACCAATCCGCCACCACATTGATATCATTCCAGGGAGCGCGCCCCCGAAGGGGCCTATCTATCGTATGTCTCCCCAGGAATTAGATGAACTGCGAACCCAACTCGATGAGTTGTTGAAAAATAGTTGGATAAGACCTAGCTCCTCACCCTATGGTGCGCCTGTGCTTTTTGTGCCTAAAAAGGACGGCGGCGTTCGCATGTGTATAGATTATAGGAGGTTAAATGATATAACAGTAAAAAATACTGAACCGTTACCGCAAATAGACGATTTGCTGGATCGCGTGCAGGGAAGCAAAGTGTTCTCAAAGATTGATCTAAAATCCGGCTACCATCAGATTTAGTACGCATTACCTCAACACTTCGTGTCCAGCTCTTGTGAGCAGCCTTCGTCCTTCGTCCTTCGTCCTCGAGTGACTTCATAGAGGCTCGAAGAGCTATCGTTCCCCTAGCGCCTTCGTGGGAGCCTTCGTGGGATCCTGGATTAGGCGCTAGCTTCGCGCCTTCGTGGGATCCTTCGTGGGATCCTGGATTAGGCGCTAGCTTCGCGCCTTCGTGGGATCCTTCGTGGGATCCTGGATTAGGCGCTAGCATCTTATAGGCAGCAATCCATAGATTAATGTCTTTCATGAGACTGCTGAATAGGCGACTGGCCCGAAATTCATCATAGCTAGCGCTCCTTAGGTTATGAATATCGGTGCATGTCAATGAGCCGGAAGACCAACATAAGACTGCCTTTAGGATAAGGTATGGGCATTATGAGTTCGTRGTTTTGCCCTTTGGTCTCACAAATGCCCCTGCCACTTTCCAAAGAACAATGAACGAACTCTTTCGTGAGTGGCTCGATAAATTTGTTATGATTTATTTAGATGACATTTTGATTTTCCGTAAAAATGAAAAAGAGCACGCCGAGCACCTTCGACTTGTGCTAAATAAATTGAGGGAAGCAAAACTCAAAATAAACCCAAAGAAGTGTGAATAGGCTAAGCGTCAAGTGCTATATCTAGGACATGTGATTGATGGAGATGGGGTCAAACCGGAAGATGCTAAGATAACAGCAATCAGAGATTGGCCGAACCCCCGCACTTTGAGTGAGTTGCGGTCGTTCCTTCGGTTAGCCAACTACTATCGAAAGTTCGTAAGACACTTTACGATAATAACTGCTCCCCTTCGTCGATTGCTTAAGAAAGAAGTAATTTGGAAGTGGGATTCAGACTGCACTATGTCTTTCAAGCGTCTGAAGAGGTGTTTGATC